CCCGCGCCTCCTCCACCGCCTCCGCCCCCGCCCCCATGCCCGCCGCCGCCTCCGCCGTCGCCTCCACCACCGGCGCTATCGTCGTCGTCGCATGGGCGATGGGCGTGGAGCTAGTGCCGGCCGCCGCCTCAGCCGCGCACAGCCCCTTCGCCAGCAGCAGCAGCAGCAGCATGCGTACGTGCGGGCGCGCTCGACGGCCGCTCGCCCCGCCACTCATGGTGCAGCACTAGAACACACGGCCAACCGCGAGGGGTTGCGCGCCGCCCTTTGCACGTGACAGCCAGCTAGACGGCAGCCTGCTGCAAAATTAAATTAATAAACTCTTTCCATATTATTGTACCAAATTTGGGTGCGTAAAACTTATGTTCATTATTTAAATTCAATACTTCGGAATCCGTCATTCATTATAGAAAAAACTGAAATTTCTTTGTAATTTTTATTTGATAAAAACAGATATGCAGATGGAGATTCAGATGCTTCAATAGCTCATACTTTCCCGCAATATTTGTAACTGTTGCAATTTTCAAACATTCAGAGTTCAACGAAAATGAGACCTGCTCCATTTTTATAAGTGTTCTTTAAACTTTTTGAGAATAATAAAGGAAAAAATTGAATCCATATATGACAAAATAAGGGTTTAAAATTGCCTATATTTTGATCAAAATTTGCAAAAATTACTCGAATGTACTTTTCTCTATGTTTTCGAATAATGACACGTGATCTTCTTTAAAGATCTGGTGAAGAACATGTTTCGATAAGACAAAAAATCTCTCTCTTACGTATTGTAATTGTTGTAAAATTACAAAATTTTGCAATTTTCTAAAATTCAGAGAGAATTAGAGATCATTTTTCGTCAGACATGTCATTGAAATTTAATAAAAAAATTAGGTTTTAAGAAAATTTTGAAAATCTCAATGCACCTTTAAACAAAGTGCTCCCAAACCATCACTATATCCATTTCAAATTCGTAGGATCTTGTGTTTGGTCAAATCTATCGGAAATATATTTTGGGGCAAATCGTCTCAACAATGTAGTGTAACAATGTAATGTGTTTCAACAATGTGGTGGCTGTAGACGTGTAGACAAACAAATCTTTTGCGGCAAACCAATTTTTCGGTATCAAGGAGGCACACAACATGCGCACGATGATGTGAAGTTCTCTTCTTACGAGGTAAGCGCGAGAAAGTAAAAGGAATTCTATTGAGCGTAGGTCTCCACCATGAGATCCGTTCAATTTTTACAATTAGTTGTTACGTTCTTCGGAGAACAATTTTCTAAATAATGGTCCTTGATGCAGTAAATGCCTACTATTTTTTGTTGCAATTGTTTTTTGTGTGGCCGAAGACGAGACATGGCAAAAACTACATTGGACCCTTGAACTTCCTCTTTTTTTCAGGCTTGACTCATATGCTACATATTTATTTTATAGTCTCGATGCTTTGGTGACCGTCGTACTCTGCTGCAACGACTGGTGTTGGACTGTTTTGATGAGGTCTCCTTCTAACAAGGGATGAGAACTTTTCTTTCAGGTCATGGTATATTTCCTCTTGACATTTCACAGTTTTTCAGTATATGGCAACTGATCGTAAAACGATACATGAGATTTCGTTTTCGAAATACGACCTGGCAGCAACATCGAGGGAAGGTAATAGCAGTGGTAGTCTGCGGGTCAAAATACCCTATAGTACATGATGTGCCTTGACTAAGTATCGAGTAAAAGGCGATATATCACCAGTAGATTGCTTTCTGTTTGGCAAAAAGCATATTATTCTTAAAGCAGGGAGAGTTTCATTTTCAAAAGTAGGAAGTACGTTTATGTGGAAACGATACTTGACTGTGAAGAGAATCGTAAGACTAGTGAAATGTTTCATTATAAGTAGCCTGATGCAGTAAAATCTATTCAATTAATAAGCTACATTTGAAAATTATAATAAAACAATTTAAATAATGCAACGTAAAACAGATAAATCTCCCTACAAGTTATCTTTAGAAATAGATAAATTGATAGATGGACGTCATAGCCAACTCAATGTTTTCTCAACTTCCTTGTGAATATAAAATTGTCATCATTATTATTTCATTGGGTTGATACTTTGCCAAGTTCATGCAACTTCTAAGAGAATATTCGTAGTCATCTGAATATCAGTTTTTTATCATTTAGAAAGAAGTTGGAAATTTTGCTGTAATGAATGCTGTATATGCTGTAATGAATGAAGTATTATTCGGTATTATCAAACGACAGGGAAAAAACAATAGCTGAAAATGCTACTTGCAAGTGTATATTAGTAGTTTCTATCATAAAAAAAATTAACACACAACTTCCTATTTTTCTTCATACTTTTAGTTAATAATGTTTCGAGTCAGATAATTTACGGACTTGCTCCACTATGGTGTTCACTCCAACGTAAAATACTTTTTCAACGTGTTAAAATTTTAAATTAAATAAACAGTTATGCAAAACTAACGAAAGAAACAAAGTTTGTTGCTCTTTAAAAATGGTAAAAGCATTTACTATCATATATATGCACACTTTCTATTTGCCTTTGAAATGAAAAACGCTTATAGTACACTGACATTTTTGTTTTTTCGCTGATATCGTTAAAGCTGAACTTCACTCAAACAATGTTTCTCCTTTAAAATAACGATGGCATAACCTGTATGAATGTGTAGTTGACGAACCTATAACATTCAAGAGTATGGTTGCAGAAGGCTACTTCTCCGACCGACGAGTCGAAGGCAATCGTAAGCACTTCTCCTTATTGCACGCGCGTTCCGGAGAACGGCGGAATTGGAAATCCAGAGGAATCGAAAGCTCAGTGGCTCTCCGGCGAAGCATTCGCACCGATGGACGACGCCCTATAAATATTTAGAAAGCCCTTCTCCGAGAGAGCTCTGTCAATATATCCGTGATTCGAGCTCACGCATACACAGAACGCAGCACCCGGTGATCTTCCTAACAACCGGGCTTAGAGGAACAGCCATAAAACAGGCTTCCGAAAAGAGGACAGAGACGAAAAGGTGTCTTCAAAAATAGAGAAGAGAGACGGTGACACGACAGTCGAACAGAGACTGTCGAGAAAGGGAGAACCTTAAATATTGCGTTGACTTTGTGTCCAAGGCCGAGCATCTCGCTTCGAGGCCTGGGGTTCCGATTTTCTCTCGACTCAAGAGGAGACTCTGCACCCTTCCGTGCTCCTCGCCTGATCCCTTGATCTCCTCTCGTGAGTTCGCTTGAGGAGCGGCGAGCGCGCACTTGACGCACGGGCTGCTCTCCAGCGCCGGGAGTTGCAGCGAGGCGCAGAGCGTCTGGAGGCCCTTGGCGAGAGCTGAACGCTAAAGGACATTCTCCCCGTTCGCAGGTGAGGATCAGCGTGTCATTTGACAGCTGTATTTTCACGCGACAGGAAAGAGATCTACATTAACACTTACACACCGGATGCGTAGCTCAGGAGCAATATCGTTGCCTCTGCGATGCCCGAGATCTGAAGGTTCAATATCGGGTTCTGGAGTTGGCGAATTTTTGACAGTAGCTAGATAAATGTGACGATTTAAACCTCTGCCACGAAGAGGATTCTAAAGCAGGTTGTTGTGATCGGTAGGCTTCCTTAGTTCCTCCGACCAATACTGGGTGAATGTCGAAGCAGTACCTTAACGAACGAGGCACGGAAGTGGGGTGATCAACCTTCCTCCTCATTGATCAAATATCTCCCCTTCCTAGCCCTCAATACACTTACATTCACTACATTACCACACGTCCTGGGAGACAATTGGGAGGGGGGGGAGTTAGAACGTGTCCCGGCAGTGGCGATGGGCAATGGGGAAGGTAGAAAATCCTGGAAGTGAGAAAATCCTGCAATTGTGTCTGTTGGTCAAATCTCACGTTCCAGCAGGGAAGGACTAATTGTACTTCTGCACTAGTATTAGGAGAGCCAGGATAACCAAAGACCTGTAAGGTCAAATTCTGTATGTATTATTCCTCAACTTGCATTTATCTCTTTGGAAATGAGTAAACGCATACAACTAAAACGATTCTTTAATATTATAATTATGAAACTTTTGATTTTTGTGGTATAGCCTCGTGACAAAAAAACAAGTTTTTTAATATTACAGAGAATATTTTTCAAACCGAAAATAAACAATAAAATGAAAATTAAGATACAAAAAAACTATTATTATTACCGATGTGTAAATAAGATGGATACAGAATAAAATATCATAAATTATCATTTATTGTTTCGATGCATCTGTTATAGGAGTACCATCTGTTTTCCAACCAGTTTTATCCCTAATAACAAGGGTCACAAAAAATTCCATGTTTTAATAACGGGTTTAAGCGGCAAAATACACAACTCT